ATTGGCGCCGCCGCCGCGGTGTGGTGCAGGCCGCCGTGCAGCGCGCAAAGGAGGCTACACCATGCCTCTCCCTCTGTCCGTGAGTGTGAAAAGGACGGGAGGAGAAAGAAAGAGATCACTCGCGCGAGGGAGCTAGCCTCCTCGCGATGCGGATTCACCCTGCACTGCAGACGCACCATATGAACTGGAGGAGCAAGGCAGGAGATCGTGGCTGAGCTGCATCCCCCACGCCCGCTCGTCGGCCTCGGCTCAGGTTCAGCCTGAGCACGATACAAGCCGAGCGGACTGCAGAGCGACGTAACGAAAGGCACATAGGAACGCTTACCGACGAAAATTAATTTTCAACATTTAAAGCGTTATTTCAGAGTTTTTAGCTTCCTTAAGAGCGTTTTCCACACAAAACCGCGTTTCGGAGGCTGAAAACGCTTAATAAGTTCAAAATTTATTTCCGATGCTAAGCGTTTCTACATACGTTACGTTACGACGCCCTAACGGGCTGCCGCAGCCCAGGGCCCGGGGGGGGGGGGGGGGGGCTCCGGCGTCATCCTTATCAAAGCCGGCGCTGGGGCACGTTTCCTGTCTTATCGCGCAGCCGGGGTGACGGTGGTCGTCGTCGTGCCGTCGGTGAGAACGCGGTGACGGATGTGACGGACTCTGTCACGGTCCGTGTCGCACTTACGGTGCACGACATCGCGGTGATGACCTGACTGACGTGACTGACGAGGCCACCGCAGTTCAGCCCGCGTCACAGTCACGGTATGGCAGCGGTGGCCAGCACGGCATCGCGGTCATCCACGTGACAGTAGTCACAGCCACGGTCGCCGACGCCGTAATGGTGCAGCTGTTGCAGACCGGAAGTCGCACATAGACCGGAAAAAGTACGACGACTGAGAGGTGCGACTGTCGGCCCACGCACCCACGCACATGTCGAGGTCGAGTGTCTGGCTTCCACATCTAGTTCTAGTCCACCAGAGCGGACTGCGCCTGCGACACGGCGGTCGCACCTTAGTCTGCCCCGGTGGGCCCTCTGGTCGTTCTGGTCTTGTCTGCAGGCCGCGGGCTCGCAGCCGCACAGCACAGGCTCTGTATTGACAAGGCGGCGCGACGGGCCGCGACGACAGCCGCGACATCAGCTGCTGCTGCTGCTGTGGCGGAGGCAGCAACACCGTGAGCCGGCCCGGCGGCCCGCCGCCCAGCTGGCGCGGCTGGGCTGCTCCCCTCTGCTCGCCTCGCACCGCGATGCACACGCCGAGCCCGACTCGCTTCGGCTCGGTCGCGGCTCCATAACCTCAACTCCACGAGGACGAGGATATCGGTGCGGAGGGGCCCTTCCGGGTCACGGTGTTGACGAGCACCACCAGCTTCGCCTCGAGCCGGGCCCCACTGCCCGACTGACGGCACCTCGGCCCCCGCCGCCGCCGGCAGGGCCCCGTTGAAGTTGCCCGCACTTCGCGCGTGGCTGGTAAACAAATTCACCTTACCTTGATCTAGAAGCCGGGCGGCGTTGGGCCACTGACTACTGTCCAGTTTGTGCTTCTCGTCCATGAGCTCGCGCAGGTACTCGCTCGGCTTGCCCTCGGGCCCCGCGCTGCTGTTCCTCGTCTGCCCGTCGGCTGTCATCTCGGGCGCCTTCATGTTCGCGGCGCTGCCCGCGCCGCCCGCACTGCCCGGCTCCAGGCTCCCGTTGGAACTCGCAGCCATGTCTCGAGCCGCGCGCACAACACGACCGTCACACCGTCACGTCCCGTCCTCGCTCGACGGCCGCTCCGCACTCAATACCACACCGAGCGTCGAGCCTGCCTTGTGGCCTCCTCCTGTGTCGACCGGGCCGCGACGACTGCCAAGCCTCCGAGCCCCACCGAGCGAATGCGAAGTTCAACTCCACTCCCCCTCGCCCCTGGGCCGGGCCCCTCTGCCCCTCTCTCCTCGCTGTAGCTCGCCGCTCGCCCCGGCGCGGCGCGGCCCGGGCTGGGCTCTCCCTCCCGCCCTCCCCGCTTCGCACCACCTCCACGGGGAGCTTGGCTCCACTGCCGCCAGGAGCGTCACCCTCGCTCCACAGTGCTGCCAGCACACCGGGCCTCAAGCGTGGATGTTGACGGGCACACAAAGTGTAGAGGGATATCGTATTCTTTCTGAATTCGGACGGCCCTTTTTATTTCCTTGCTGATAAAGGTAATAAGATGAAAAAATCAGCTGGTGTTAGTTCTTTTCGGATGCCGAAGACAGCAACAGAGTGAGCTGCGAATAACTGACTTCACAGTACCCGCGAAATTCGAATTAGGACCGTAGGAATTTTCTTTTAACAGAGTAGATACAGTGTCACCTAAATTTTTGCCCTACTTATGTGTTTCTGATTGTCTCATGTTAGTATGTGCGTATATGAGCAACGCTTTTCTAACTTTCCCGTCAGCCGTGCGTGCGATCGCACGCGCGTGTGGATGCGTGCTTCACCCTCTGCTTCACTTGACAGCCTCCAGCCACAACAAAAGCAGCAGGCAGCGTGTTTTCCCGCCACATCAAAATTGTGTTTATTTTGAATTAAAGTAAACAATATTTAATCCAAGAACACCATGGGAATTTTAGGGCTATCTAAGCTGATTGCTGACATAGCACCAGCGGCTGTCAAAGAAAATGAAATCAAGAATTACTTTGGTAAGGCAGTTAGCCTACTATAGGTTATGGCGTACTAGCATATTTATATTATTTTAATGTTTCATTTTTGAAACGAAGTCTATACATTTTCAAATTCCTCTTTTCAACACAGGTAGAAAAGTGGCTATTGATGCGTCTATGAGCTTGTACCAATTCCTTATAGCTGTCAGAAGTGAGGGTGCCCAATTAACGGATTCTGCTGGAGAAACTACAAGGTACTTTTTTTTATTGTTTTACTGCTTATGATTTAAGAGCTTATATTTGCCTCAAGTTCTTTTTTTACCTTAAATTTATTGTTCATATTAATTTTTGTACTATTTCATTAATTCAGTCATTTGATGGGAACCTTTTATCGCACAATACGCCTTGTTGAGAACGGCATCAAACCAGTGTATGTATTCGATGGGAAACCTCCAGAAATGAAGTCTGGAGAGCTAAATAAACGAGCTGAAAGACGTGAGGAAGCTCAAAAGGCCCTCCAACAAGCTGAGGAAGCTGGTAACTAAAATAGTTTTTGGTTTTTTTTCCCATATTTGGTTTGTGTTCCAATATCTTGTCAACTGCAACCCATTTTTTCTAGGTGATGCTGAAAATATTGACAAGTTTAACCGAAGGTTGGTGAAAGTAACAAAACACCACGGTGAGCAGTGTAAAACACTTCTGAAGCTCATGGGCGTCCCATTCATTGATGTATGTTATTTGTTCTTGTTTTTAAATCACTTCTTTCTTTTTAATTAATTGCTGTTCTTAAAAAAAATTGTGTTTTACAGGCACCCTGTGAAGCTGAAGCTCAGTGTGCTGCCATGGTGAAATCAGGAAAGATATATGCAACAGCCACTGAGGATATGGATGCTTTGACATTTGGATCATCTGTCCTACTGAGGCACATGACATTCAGTGAGGCTCGAAAAATGCCAATTCAAGAGTTCCACCTAAGCCGAGTATTAGAAGAGCTTGAGCTGTCTCAGGATGAATTCATAGATTTGTGTATCTTGCTTGGATGCGATTACTGTGACAGCATTAGGGGTATTGGTCCTAAAAGGGCCATTGACTTGATAAAACAGCATAGAAATATAGAGACAATCCTCAAAAATTTGGACAAAAATAAATATCCAGTTTCAGAAGACTGGCCTTATAAAGAAGCTCGAAGACTGTTCATCACTCCTGAAGTTGCAGATCCTGAAACAGTAGAAGTAATTAATTTTATGCCTCTAATGAGATGTCTTCCTTCCAACAATTATTACATTTTTCAACACTTTGACGTTTTCAGATGAAATGGACAGAACCTGATGAGGAAGGTCTCGTCAAATATTTGTGTGGTGACAAAAACTTCAATGAAGACAGAGTGAGAAACGGTGCCAAAAAACTTGCCAAGGCACGTTCAGGTACAACACAAGGGCGTTTAGATTCTTTCTTCAAAGTTTTACCAAGTGCAAACCCAGGACAAAAGAGAAAGGTATTCATAACTACGCTCTTTAGTTCAAATATCGAATATCTACTGAATCTCTTAAATATTTCTATTTCTTACAGTCTGAAGATAGCAAAGCAGCTACTACTAAGAAAGGAAAGAAAGGTGGTGGTGGTTTTAGAGGAAGACCCAAGTAGAAAGCCAAGAAGCTTGCAGTGGTTCATTTATGAGAAATATTCTTATAAATTTTGTGT